CTAGATTCTGCTTTTAGAAGAGCTTCCCCCATACTACATGAGGTGCTAGTCCAAATCTCAATAGTAGAATTAGGTTAGTGATTGGACCAGCCACTCAGGAAAAACCCTTCCCCAAGTTATGGCAGCAATGCCCAAACAGGAAGGACTACATAAATCCTTTGTCCTCCTTTTTATCTTCTTCTTTCTTTTGCATCATGCTTTTCCCATTCTCGGTGTGTCATACAGTCTGCTGAATCAGAAATAGGTATTTGTAACACAATATCTTCCACAAATTATTTTGCTGGTTTGAAGGAGGATATCATTTCTAAAGAGATACAAATGTTTACTATCAATAGGCTCAATTATAAGCACATACACATTGCTATAGCCTCAAAACACTACTCCTGATAAGGTACTGCTATTTTAGAAATCATCGTAAGTTCAAGAAAGGATGATTTCAAGTCTTTTTTGCAAAGTGGAATTATCTACTAAAGTTGAACATAAGTAACTAGTAGCCTGTCCATCTTACTCCTAAACATCCAACAGACATGTGCATATACCTATCAAAGTAAATAATAATAGCAGATGTTTCTATGTATATATGCGTGCGTGTGTATATATGTATATATATGTGTGTATATATATAAATATATAGTCTGTTCAGAAGGCATCCAGCCATGTAATATGAAAAATAGAGACATTTATTGAAGAAGATACAAGATACAAGAAACATGGTACGTAGGGCAATGACACCTCAGTCCCCTTCAAAGTAGGCACCTTGGGACCTCACACAGTTCTCCCAATTACCATCAACTACCCCTTCATATTTTCCTGAATCTCATCAATGGTCTTAAATCTTTTCCCTTTCAAAGGGGATTTTAGTTTTGGGAAAAACCAGAGGTCACGGGCACCAAATCTGGGCTGTAGAGGGGCTGAGTCACCTGGGTGATTTAATGTTTTGCAAAAAAACTGCACAAGATGTGAAGCATGAGTGGGTACACTATCATTTTGAAGTTGTCAATCACCAGTTGCCCATAGCTGTGGCCTTCTGAATCATCCAGATAGTTTATTCAAAGGAATGTTCACGCTTAACACAAAATCTGATACAGATTTGTTCCTCTACTCAGTCATTTTGAGTGTGATAGACACACAGCACACATGCTCACTCAATGGTGTCTACCACCCCCACTGATTAGTACAGTGAAGTCTTCATTGTTCACACATGTGCATTCCAGTCCACTCTCTTTGGCTGCCAGGTTACATTGATGTTGCACAAACCATTCCCACTCTCTCTCTCTATATATATGATTTTCTACTTTAGCTGCACAGTGCTTGGCCTGTGACATGCCAAGCACTTAGGACGCAATCACTGACAGTGGTGCCCACATGACATGCATCATGATACCCTGTAGCTTCTTTACCCTGTAGCAAGTTACAGTTCCTGCAGCAGAAGACATGACTGGAGTATCTTCAGAGCCACCAGAGTAACATATCCACATTTGTAAATCAGAATTGTAAGAAGACCCCTGGCTGGTGTGGCTCAGTTGGTTGGAGCATCATCCTGTAACCAAAAAGTTGCAGGTTCAATTCCCAGTCCGGGCACATACCTAGGTTACATGTTTAATCCCAGTCCGGGTGCATGTGGGAAGCATCCAATCAATGTTTCCCTCTCATGTTTTAATATTTTTATCCATTTGGATTTTATTTTTCACTGTATTGTATGGTGGTCTGGGTCCAACTTTATCTTTGTTCAAATGGACATCCATTTGTCTTTACTTAGGAAAAAGTCCATCTTAAACCTATACAATTCCCATAGTCAATTTTTTGGACTTTCTGTTCCATCGATCATCAGTTTATTCAAGAAATCACACCCTGGCTGGTGCAGCTCAGTGGATTGAGCACAGGCTTGTACACCAAATGGTTGCTGGTTCAATTCCCAGTTAGGACACATATCTGGATTGCAGGCCAGGTCCCCAGTTGGGGGAACATACGGGGCAACCACACATTGATGTTTCTCTCCCTCTCTTTCTCCTTCTTTTTCCCTCTCTCTCAAGAATAAATAAATAAAATCTTTAAAAAATTCACTCCTCTTATTTAAAAAAAAAGAAATTATGCTTTCTCCACTTCATTTTGGAAGTTTCTTTGTTTGCTTTTTGTATGAATCTGTTCATGCTGTTTCGAAATTATACTTTCTATTTTAATTTTTCAATATTTCTATGGTTTCCTAAATATGACTAGAAAGAGTATCATAAGATGATTATGAATGTGGAGGTCAAGCTTCAAAATGCCTTCTGTGGCATTGCTCTCAGACAATTAATTTAATTCTAATGCCTTAATTTCCTCAACTTCACAATGAACACAACAGTAAGTGAACAGTAAATACATTATTAAAGTATTCATAACTGACCTGTAATAAATCCTGAATAATTATTAGCTAACACAATAACTATTTATAATGTTAATTAGTAAAGAAGTTATATTGGTTTCCTATTGCTGCTGTAACAAATTACTACAAACAACAGTGGCTGAAAACAACATAAAGTTCATTATCAGTTCTGGAAGTCAGAAGTCTCGCAGAGCTGCAATCAAGGTGCTGGCAGGGCTGCTACCCTTATAGAGGCTCTACGAGAGGATCTGTTCCCTTGCCTTTTTATTGCATTTAAAATGTAATTAGGGGACATGAGCATAAAATGGAGTAAAAATAGCCTGTTTAATAAATGGTTTTGGTAGAAGTGGACCGGTACGTGCAAAAAAAAAAAAAAAAGAGAAACTAGACTGCCAGCTTACACTATAGACCAGAATAATCTCAAAATGGATAAAATATTTAAATATAAGTTGTGATACCAGAAAAGTCATAGTGGAAAACATAGGCAGTAAAATTTCAGATATCACACATAGCAATATTTTTGCCAATGTATTTCCTAGGGCAAAGAAAGGGAAAAATAAACAAATAGGACTACATAAAATTAAAAACCTTCTGCAAATTAAAAGGCTAAAGAAACCATCATGAAAATGAAAATGGAATCAACTGTATGGGAGAACATATTTGCCAATGATACATCAAACAAGGGTTTAATCTCCAAAATATACAAAGTACTCATATGACTCAACACCAGGAAGACAAATAATCCAATTAAAAAATGGGCAAAGGAGCTGAATAAACATTTTCCAAAGAGAACGTACAAATGGCCCATAGACATATGAAAAGATGTTCAGCATCTATAGCCATCAGAGAGATACAAATTAAAACCACAATGATATATCACCTCATATCTGTTAGAATGTCTATCATTAATAAACCAACAAAAAACAAGCGCTGGAGAGGATATGGAGAAAAGGGAACCCTAGTGCACTGTTGGTGGGAATACAGGCTGGTGCAGCCATTGTGGAAACAGTATGGAATTTCCTCAAAAAACTAAAAATGGAACTGCTTTTTGACCCAGTGATTTCATTGCTGGGAATACACCCTAAGAATCATGAAACACCAGTTCAAAAGAACTTATGCACCCTTATGTTCATAGCCCTATTTACAATAGCCAATAGTTGGAAACAGCCTAAGTGACCATCAGTAGATGAATGAATTTTTTAAATCTGGTCCATTTACACCATGGAATACTAGGCACAGAAAGAAAGATGGAATTCCTACCTTTTGTGACACTATGGATGGAACTGAAGACTATTATGGTAAGTGAAATAAGCCAGTCGATGAAAGACAAATACCATACAATCTCACTTATAAGAAGAAACTAATGAACAAAATAAACTAATAAGCAAAACCAAATTAGAGACATGGAAATATGAAACAGACTGCCAGCTGCAAGAGGGGATGGGAGAGGGGAGAAATGGTGGAAAGAAGGGGAACGGATTAGTTAAAGAACATGTGTGGATGGCCCATGGACATGGACAATGGTGTGGGGATGGACTGTGGGAGCGTGGGGTGGGCTGGGTGGAGGAGGGCAAAGGGGTGAATGTTGAGACAACTATAATAAAATAAACAAGAATAAATAAAACAAAAAAACTTGATCAGTTGACCTCACAAAAGAAGCCCTGTAAAGGTCCAAAATATAGTTTAGTTTTTGGTAGCTTCAAGAAATTGTCAATGTTCATCTTGATGTGTCTTTTCTGGTCATTTTCAAGCCAATGGCCACTTTAAAAAAAGTCATACGATATTGAAATATTTGGGGATGAGTGGGAGGCAGGAGTGCTGGTCAGAAAGAATGTGGACCACTGGTAAAAGGTACTCGCACTTCCGTAGGTTCTTAAAGAAAGGAGAAAGCCTTTATTTTGTTCCTGAAGATATAATAGAAATATTGGACTAGAAGTCAGATGATCTGTAAAATTGTCTAAGTTAACAGTACCAAGGTTGGAACCTGAGATAGGTGACTTAATTTTGCTTAGTCTCAAATTTTGTTTTGTTTTGTTTATTTCTATAAGAGAGACAGTAATGAAAACAATATTAATCTTTTCAATTATGACATTTCCTTGGATATTACAATGTACTTTATTGTGTCTTATGAATTATACAGGTTGCAAAGGCAATTACAGAGTATTGTTAAACAAATTCTCAAACAAAAACACTGATCTTTGGTGCATTCTGAAGTACAGTTCAAATCAGGAAGTACAGCTGAACCTCACCAAGCCCATTGATATGGGAAGTTCAGCATAATAAAGGTCTCCAAAGAACAGAAAAAAAGACAGAAATTAAAATTTATGTTTTTCTTTTGTAAAAATGTAAGTCATATTTTAAGCAACTAAATAAGTTTTATCTCCTATAATATAACTCAACTGGGAAATTCTTTATATAAATAAGTAAGCAATTTAAGGAAAACAAAAATAGAGCTGTGTGTAATGTTTCTATAAAGCTTATTTTATTGGAGATGAAACAAAAAACAAATAAAATATGTAAGAAAATATGTTTTATTTTTAGTCTTAAAATAATTCTTAATCTCCTTAGGGAAATTCAGAAGGCTCCTCATTGGCTTTTAACAATTGGGGAAAATAAAAACAAAGTAATAGAGTTATTTCAATTTTATGGTTATTTATTGGTAAAAATATGTACAAACATATATGTATACCATTTATAGTTTTTAATAAAAATCAGTAGGCTTTCACATATGAGTGCAAAGAATTAAGATCATTTAACTGTAGCGTTAAAAGCAAGTATAAATAAACTGAACCCATCAGATATTTTGGCACATTATCTGGCATTCCTTATACCATTTATTTATAAGCTCTAAAGGATTATAAAAACACAATACAGAATTATTAAGTCCAGTATAAATTTCTTCATGATATAAAATGTCCTATTTAGGTTATGCCCTTGATGAGGGTAACATAAAGGAACGGCTTCTTTAGCCCTTCAGCCTATGTCACATTTTCCATACTGATAGTCCCTTCTATCTTCTGGAGCACCTTCACCTCAGTATACTGTTATTTGCTTACACTTTGGAATCTCCCTAAGCAATCCCTCAACTGAACATGATCAGTAGTGATATCACTGCCCATAGACTGAGCAGCTTCCTCCCAGTTGAGAACCGTACCTTGTTTCCACTAAGAAGCGAGGTTAATTTTCTTCCCATTGGTAACCTTCAGATGGCACCCAGCATATGACAATGTGGCAGGAGTGATGCCCACCTGAACTCAAGACTTTGGTCAAGTCCCATTTGACTTAGTCTATTGTGAATCACACTCCCTAGGTCACTTTCAATCTCCCCTGAGAAAATGAGAGGGGTGGCGTTGGGATATAAGAGAAAGTTTTCTCTCAGACAACTAGCCCAATATCTCTACCAAACAAATGCAGTGATCAAATATGTCCCTTATTATACAATTAATTCATAACCTTTTTAAGGAAGTAACCATTATTTAAACTATTGAAATATGTATTTTACCAATTATTAGCACCATAACTTTATAGAAATATAAAAGTTTGACATAATTATTATAAAATTGATTCAAACGGGAATTGTCCCAAGTTTTATAGTGTCTTGTTTCCTGTCCTCAGTGGTGGTAAACATGAAAAGGAGTTCTGATATTTAGCTTTAGAGTAAGATACAGTCTGGTGAGCTGGCATTGTACTGCTGCTGCTGGAGTTGGTTCTGAAGTTGTCTCATTTCAGCCTCGACTCTCTCCTGGTGCTTTGCAGTCTCTTCCTAAAGAGCAATGAATAAAACTATAGAGCTGAACAAAAAGTAATATCCACATTATTGGGGAAGGGGGAGGATAAGCCCAAATCATTGATTTTCCTTACTTTTTAAAGTTATCAGTTAAAAAAAAGACAGTTCCTAAATTCTCCTTTCTACTTATACTCATTTGACCTCTCCTTCCTGGTTTCCTATCTGAGTAATTCTCCCACATCTGTTTCTCTAGCTGCAGAAACATCACTGTCTCTCAATTCTTGAAGTATTGGTGTCTCAAGAATTGCATTCAGAGGTACCTTCCCCCTTCCTCTTTGGGGGACTCTGGGTCACATCTTGACTTCAGTTCTCATTTATACACAGAGCAATGTCAGATCTAGTTCTCTGAGGGGAGACTGACACAACAACTGGGTGTCTAGGTGTCATCCACAGTCAGGTGAGGAGTCTGAGCTTTACATCAGGAAATACGTTTCGGGGCTCCATAGTTGTAGGGAAGAAGTAGAGGTAAGACTGAGGAGATCAAGAACCTCAGGTTGATCCTACTACCCTTCAGTGTAGGGCTGTAATCATAAAAATGTCTTGGAGCATCACCTGGCAAACTAGGATCTACAGGTAGACTGGTCACCCTGGGGGGGACAGTTGAGGTACACTTTGTCTCAAAAGGGTGCTCACATAAGAATCTCATACTAGGTTTGCAGAAATAAAAGCATTATAGCTCTCACTCACTAGGAAGGCAGTTTTGAGAACTTGCTAGGCTATGTGATACTGGCATTTAGCTATCTGTTTGGAACCTAATGTTTTTAATCAGAAAAATGGAGACATAATGGTTCTGCCCCACAATGAACAGAATAGGTGAGGAAATGTGTGTAAAGTACTTTGTACAGTACTTGGTAAATAGGAACTACTGCTTACTGAGTGATGTTAATAAAGGAATGTATGAAACAAACTCTGCAAGTTAAAAGTATTCAGAACCAGTGAAAATCAAGGCAAAGATAGGGGACTAGATGCAGTAATATGAAATTAATTTAACAAGTTAATCTATGACCAAAGGAAAAGATTGCTTATAGCAATTAACAACATAGCAAAAAAAGACTAATTACTGTGGGTTAGAAATATCCTTGGATTTTATTTAACAAGTGTAGCGCTTATTCTGTGCCCAGCACCAGTCTAAACACAAGTACTGAATCATTTAGTTATTAAATACATTATAAAATAGGAGTCATTACTGCCTCCATTTTCCACAATTGGAAACTAAGGCATAGAGGGCACAGATAACTTGCACAAACCATGTAATTAGAGCTGGGCTTGTTACCCAACCTGTCTGACTCCAGAGTCCTTGTCGAGCCAGAATAGTATGCTGCCTCTCCCTATTTGTCACTGCTTCATGTTCTTATCAATACAGAGAAGGGAGATACGGTTAAAATTCTGAGATGGAATAATGGATGAATACCTGGAGTTTCCTTTCCAAAGCCCTCTGTTCCTCAGCCAGACGGCGGGTTCTTTCCATCTCCATTTGTCTCAGTTGCTCCTGATACTGTCTCTCCCTCTGCTCTATCATTTGCTGCTGCTCCCTTCGAATCTTCTCCAACCTTTGTGCTTCAGCCTCTGCAGCCCTCACTCTCAAACGTGTTTCTGAGAAAGAAGAAAATGACAAACCTCTCTAGGATTAAAGAGCCCCTTCCTTCTGTCTCCTGCTCTTATTTGCTATTGCTGCTGCTGCAAAGAGAAAATTCCCTGGGGCTATTTCTCCTTCACAGCTAACAGTACACACCCTACTCCGATAAAGCCTGAAGAGCTAAAAAATCATCTTTGCTGTTCTTGTTCTAGTTTAATGATCCCAGGTAAACCAGGCCAAATTAATCTAAAATGTGTAGAAAGTTCTATCTTGCATCTCTTCCATTTTCTTCTCACCTTCCATTTCCTTTGCCCTCGCTGTGAGAGTCTTGTCTGTCTGCAGAATGGCATCACTCATAGACTTCTTGGACTGTAAATATTTTTGCAGAGCTTCTTCAGCCTAGAAACCCCAAAATCATGCAGTTAGAAGTGAGTTGTAAATATTTTTTATTTATTTTTCTTCCCAGCATCTTTTCCTTCCAATAAGTGCTTAGCCTGCATTTAGTGGAACTGTCAGTCAAGACTCTTCTGTCATAAGGGTGGGCACAAACTCTGGGCTGGCCAATCAGAGCACCCAAGGCCACTAGATACTAAGAATGTTGGTACAAGTGAGGAAATGATAAGTTTCGGTGTTTTAAAGACTGATGCGGATGCCAGGGAAAATGCTCTCTCTCCTTTCAGGCTGAGGAAAAAAGGTCCAGTTAAGCTTGGTGATGTTGGTGTCATTTTGCTGCCATGCCTGAGAACAAGACCAGTAGTGAGAAAAACAGAACAGAAACCTAAAGGGAAGTCAGAAAGGAAAAAAAAGAAGGGGAAAATTGATGACATAGTTTAAATTCCTGAATGCAGCTATAGTTGTAACTAAATTTAAACATTTCATGCGAGCTAGGGAATTACAAGTTTGTCTGGTTTTTATTTTTTAAGTTAGTTTCAATTATTGGAATTCTGTCTTATGTAATCAGAAAAGTTCCTATGTTGCAATGAATGTTGACCATTGCAGTAAAAGTCTGTTGATTATGGCAATAGTTCAGTTTAATTCCCCAGCTATCATTAGAGCATAAATACTTTATTCTTGTCTTCACTGAATTTTGAAAGAGACCCCCCTCCCTACCCCCAGTCCAATTAATTCATGAAACTAGGGATACCTGTATTCCTTTCCTGGGCTCCTGATAGTACTTTGCCTTCAGCTCTTCTGTCTTCTGCATGAAGAGACAATGCCCCCCTGGCTTTGAATAAATCCCCTGCTTCACATCTTCTTCTAGAGAACCAAAAATATTCTGAAGTAAAGCTGAGCAACGGTCTGATGATGCCTCCAAGTTCTGTTTACAAAAGTCATCCTGTTTGGCTTTCAGCAGGGTCTTCAAAGAGACAAAGGCCAATGAAAAGATGTTAGCAACACTTCAGTATTCCTAGAAATGATTCTCAGAAAGAATTTCCATATTTTTTTCTAGAAACTAGAGAACTACAGCAAGACTATATCCTTCCTACCAAACCTAGAAAAGTTAATCATACAGAGTAGAAAAAAATGAGTTTTGTATTTCAAATCACCCGAAACCCCTTTCTCTTGCTTTTCTGCTTTAGATATGATCTTCCGATTACAGATCTCTAGCCTCATGATCTCATTTTAAATGCAACCTACTCATTTACAATCATTCCTTATTTCAGTATTTTACTGGGCCTCAGATTCCAATCAGGAGTTGAAGTCAAATAATTGGCTAAAATGATATGAGTATATACTATTAAACCTGGTCACGTGATCTCTTAGTAGATCCATTTGGCAATTCTGTATACTTGATTAACATAAAAGGGAAGTTAACTTATACTTTATAAATATGATTTTTAAAGAAATGAAATTAATTTTAAAAAGTAGTACCATATGATCTCACCTATAAGTGGAACCTGATGAACAAAACAAACAAGCAAGAAAAATATTACCAGAGACACTGGAATTAAGAACAAACTGACAGTAACCAGAGGGGAGGTGAGAGAGGATAATGGGGGGAAAAGAGGAAGGGTCAAAAGGAACATGTATAAAGGACACATGGACAAAGCCAATAGGTGGGTAGGATCAAGGGTGGGGGGTGGGGATGGCTGGGGTGGTGGGCCAGCGATTGGGGGGAAAATAGAGACAACTGTACTTTAACAATAATAAAATTTTTTTAAGTTAAAAATTAAAATAAAAAAATAAAAGTGAATACAACATATCAAAAAATTAGTCTATGGGTGTAACTTGTAAGACAAGTTGTATGTGTGTGAAAGTATCAGAATCCACAGGACCCAGAATAATTATGTTTATTTATTTGTTTGTTTTCAGAATAACAATGATATCCTGGTTATATTAGTGATAGTCATTATTTTCCAGTTTAGCAAGAATTGCTTTTCTTAATTAAGTCCCCATTTTGCATTTCATAGCAATATTTTACCTTGTAATCCCCATGAACTAGAGGAAAAAAAAGAATTACCCCTAATTCCTTCTGGAACTTTTGGTCCACATCCTTGAAGGAATTCTTCATGAAGATTTCAATGGCCTCTTTCTCACTAGCCCTGTGCAGGTCCAGCAGCTCCTGGAGGGTTTCTGTGGGCAGCTGCACCTTCTGGGCCATCTGCTTGTCATAGTGGGCAATGGCCTTTTGCACTGCGGCTGAGTTCTTGATTTGGGCCAAGGCCAGCACTGAGTTCTCCAGGCAGGGCAGATTTGCGCTGGTGATGGCACTGACGAAGGTCAGCACCAGGCTTTCTAGTTCTTCACAGGGGAAAGAGATGGTTGCATTATTTGCAGAGAAAGAGGGTATGCTCTAAACTGGGTAGTTCTGAGAATGTTAATTTAACAATGCATTGTCTGAGTTTTTTCATTATTCTGCATAGTATTCAAGTGGCCCAAATAAGTTTTTCCCCCCGCAGGGAAATTGTGTGACCAAGAATCCAAATCTTTCCTTTTTTGGGGAAAAGAAAGGAGAAATCTCAGGATGTATGTGATCATCCTCATGCCATCCTTTTTCTATTGAGAAATGAGGAAATAGTTAAAGTTGTGCATATTCACTGATTAGACTGCAACAGGCCTTTTGCCTGTTTACTCTTTCTTTCCCTCTTCCTCAGGTTTCATTTCTTCAGAATTCCCTTTTCCCTTCCACTTCAGTTTGTAAAGCTGATATGAGTGTTAGCTGAAAAAACACAAAGTGAGCAGATCAGACCAACCAGGTTGCCTTTCCTCTTTGTTGCAACTTTCATTTTTGTCTTCTTTGACATTTGCACACTTTTGTTTGCATTACTGTCCCTCTAGAGAAGTAATTTTCAACCTTTTTCAGCTCATGGCACACAACCTAATTACTAAAATTCTGCAGTACACAAAAAATACATTATATTCTTTGCCGATCTGACAAAAAAATAGGTGTAATTTGATCCATTCACACTGGATGGCTATGTGTTGGCTGTTGTCATTTCTTTATTATTTGACAATCTAAGGGAAAACAGGTCAGTGCCCCTGACTAAATAGTCAAGTATTGCATATTTAAAAATTTTTTGAGGCACACGGGTTGGAAATTGTTGCTGTAGAGTATAGCAATGATTTATAGAGTTCTGAGACATAGAGTCTTTAGAAAAAAACTGGCCCAAGATGTTTTGGCCATCTGTTTGTTTAATGTTTGTATCAGGTAAGTTCCATTTCTACGGAGAATGTACACATTGTCCTAATTTCGTGCCTAGCAAAGGCTTTGACACATAAGTATCCTCTATGTTTTCAGGAACAAATGTTGCCAACTCATGTGGATTGCTCAAATCCAACAGTAGACCACCTATGAATAGAAATCTTTAACTTAACCTTTTCTTCAGATTATATTCTTATTTTATTCTACTTTAGAGGCACTACTAAAATAATTCCTAGAAATGTTTTTGGTACCACCTGGAACTTAATACCTGTGATTTATATGATTTTCTTGGTAGTAACAGACTATGCATTTTCAACATTGACAGTAAAAAGAGAAACTTTCAACAGTGCCCCCTTTCTTTACATTTAGTTGAAGGAAAATCCTCAGAAAGGTACCCACCAGGCCCATTGGCCTTGATGCCTCCTGAAAGAGTTTTAGTCTTGGAATGGCGAAAGATGTAGTAACAGAAATCTGCCACTTGTTGCACAAAATCAGGATCCAGTTCATCATCGTGTAGTGTCTCAAGCTGGGCAAGCTTCTTCCGGTGAGTGGGAGAGTCAAAGATGAAGCATTTCTTTATTGGAAAGAATTTCTGTATACAACAACGGGGCAAATTGAAATTTTGATGATTTTGATGAGTGTCTGGGGAAGGAAAATAGGATTTATTTACTATAGGAAGAGCATTCATTATAATTGACTTCCCATGAATAAATTTTTCTTCCAACTGATGTTATTTATTTCAATACCTCTCTACAAATCCCAAGCAAAAAGTTAAAAGGTAACCCATCAGGGAAAGAAAGAAAAGAAGGAGTCTGTTCCAAGAACAGGGGGTAATACAATTTGATATTGAGTCTATTAGTTTAATTACTTTCTTGGCAGTTTAGCCAGGTGAGCAAATATAGGAAACTATAAATGCAGCCACCTATACCCAGAGATATTCTTGTATTACTTTTCTCTCTCTCTCCAAAACTGAAGGCCCTGTTACCTGGCTTCAGCTTCAGTGAATTCTCCAGGTACTCATCTGCTGTGATGCTTTGTCCATCTGCTTCCAGAGATAGGTAGAAATCTCTCAGAGTCCACACTAAGTCTGGATAGAAGCTCACCAAGTCAGCTTCATCTTCAACTCTGTTAAGATCAGGTGAGGATAGCGTTCTCAGCAGATTTGACAGTTCTGTTACAAAACTGAGATACAATTAAGGAATATTGGTGAAAATAGGACTGTAGCTAAACCCATATTGAACACCATACATCTTTCCACTATTATGTTCTCTTTTCATTATAACCAATTCTTCATTTTGTCAGTAAATATAAGGGCTCATTTCCTTGTACTTTTAATGTTTACCACATTTTTTATTTTTGTGTTTGGTTCAAAGGACTTATAAATATAGCTAGTGGATAGAAGAGTTCTCTCTGGCTTTGGTGCCACCCTGGATCACAAAAGGATACTGCAATAGGTCGATAGCCGTCTGGTCAATTTTGTTCATGGTATTGTAAACAAAGGTACTACTCAGTAGTATTGCCAGTGCAAAGATCTGAGTATCATTGTTCTTGTCACCCTAGAAGTCAGAACAAATTGAATTCATATTTCATGGCATTCCCAGATGAATAATCATTAAAAATAAGCCCCGATGTACAATGTTAAATGAGACAAACAAAAATAATTGTAAGAAACCTAAATTTTAATAGAATAGTTCTGTCATTAGCATTGATAATTTTTATGGAACATATACTGTTAACTCACCAGTCCCTCTTATAACTAGTTAGGTATTTGCAAAGTTACTGTGGTAAACAGAGCAGTTTACATTATCTTATCTAGTACTCAAAACAATGCTGTGAGGATTTCTGGCCAAGATGGAGGCATAGGTAGACACACTGTGTCTCCTTGCACAACCAAAAGAAGGACAACAACAAATTTAAAAAACAAAAACAAAAAAAACAAACAAACTCAGAACTGCCAGAAAATCAAACTGTATGGAAGTCTGACAACAAAGGAGTAAAGAAGAAACATTCATCCAGACGGGTAGGAGAGGTGGAGATGGGCAGTCAGATGGAGAGGACTCTCAGCAAGGTGGCATCTGGCAGACCAGGAGGTCCCACATTTGTGTGAAGATAAACAGGGAGGAACAACTGGGGAGCAAGACAAACCATGCAGCCCAGGGTTAAGGTGCGGGAAATAAAGCTTCAAAACCTCTGAATGACAACACCTGTTGCACAGTGGGAGAAACTCTCAGCCTCACAGGAGAGTTCGTTGGAGAGACCCACAGCATCCTAGAACATACACAAACCCACACACCTGGGAATCAGCACCAGAAGGGCCCAATTTGATTGTGGGTAACAGAGAAAGTAACTGAAAGCCTGCGGAGAGCTGAACTAGTGCCACCGTTCTCTCTCAGACCCCTCCCCCACACACAGCGCTACAACCTCCAACAGGAGTTGCTCTGCCCTGGTGAATACCAAAGGCTCTGCCCCTTACTATGTAACAGGCAAGCCAAGACAAAAATGAGTAATGGCTCAAATGAAAAAAACAGATCAAAGCTCCAGTAAAAATACAACTAAGCAACAAAGAGATAGCCAACCTATCAGATGCACAATTCAAAACAATGGTAATCAGGATACTCACAGAATTGGTTGACTGGGGTCACAAAATGGAGGAAAAAGTGAAGGCTATGAAAAGTGAAATAAAGGAAAATATACAGGGAACCAACAGTGAAGGGAAAGAGATTGGGACTCAAATCAACAGTTTGAACCAGAAGGAAGAAATAAACAGTCAACAAGAGCAGAATGAAGAAACAAGAATTCAAAAATATGAGGAGAGGCTTAGAAACCTCTGGGACAACTTTAAACGTTTGAACATCCGAATCACAGGGGTGCCAGAAGGAGAAGAGGAAGAGAAGAAACTGAAAAGTTATTTGAAAAAATAATGAAAGAGAACCTCCCCAATCTGGCAAAGGCAGTAGACTTTCAGGAAGTCCAGGAGGCTTAGAGAGTCCCAAAGAAGTTGGACCCAAGGAAGCTCATACCAAAGCACACCATAATTACATTACCAAAGATTAAAGATAAGGAGAGAATCTTAAAAAGCAGAAAAAAGGAGACATTTACCTACAGAGGAGTTCCCATAAGACTGTCAGCTGATTTCTCAAAAGAAACCTTGCATGCAAGAAGGGGCTGTAAAGAAGTATTCAAAGTCAGGAAAGGCAAGGACCTACATCCAAAATTACTCTATCCAGCAAAGCTATCATTTAGAATGGAAGGGCAGATAAAGTGCTTCCCAGATAAGGTCAAGTTAATGGAGTTTACCATCACCAAGCCCTTATTATATGAAATGTTAAAGGGATTTATTTAAGAAAAAGAAGATCAAATATATGGATAATAAAGTGACAACAAACTCACAACTATCAAAAACGAAACCTAAAAACCAAAAACAAACTAAGCAAACAACTGGAACAGGAACAGAATCACAGGAATGGAGATCACATGGAGGGTTATCAGCGGGGGGCAGTGGGGAGGAGAAAGGAGGAAAAGGTCATAGGGAATAAGAAGCATAGATGTTAAGTACAAAATAGACAGGAGGAGGTTAAGAATAGTATAGGAAATGGAGAAGCCAAAGAACTTACATGTATGACCCATAGGCATGAACTAAAGGAGGAGAATGAAGGTAGGCAGGGCAGAGGGGAATAAAGGGGGAAAATAGGACAACTGTAATAGCATAATCAATGAAATATATTTAAAAAACAATGCTCTGATATAGATTTATTACTATTCCATGTTACAGATGAGGAAACAAAGGCACAGACTGAGGTTGAACATATTGGATTTATGTTCCAATATGTAAATCAAAAGCAAAACAAGAACTAAACAAAAGGGGAAGTTCAAAAGAAAGATCCAGTCCCGTGCTAGAGCTAGTGTACACCAGCCCACAGAAGCTGACTGTGTACATCAATTTCAAACCCTGAGTTTGGCGACTTCACTTTGGGAGCTTGGAGTAAGCTGTGAAGGGAACATTTAGAAAACTGTCAAGTGCTACAAGTCAAGGCTTTCCCCCTTCCCTACCCCCAGCAGGCTGGTTGTTAAACAACACCATACAGGTGGGAAAAGCTCATGTATATTCAGACGATGAAATGGATAAGACCAAAGAGAAAAATCAAAGATTTAGGGGGACTTACCTTTGTTTGTCAATGTGAGAGAGCTACAAGTGCCAGAGCCCCTACTGAACTCAAATCTCTCAGACCCAGAGCCCAATGCTAATCACTATTCTCTGCAGGATCAGACTTGGGACAGTGATTTTATTTACGCCACCTTTCTGCATTTTGGTTAACTGCCTAACTCCACATTCTTGTAGTCTCCACAACATGTCTTTGACTCCTAAATATATTTTGCCTACTTCAGGTTACCAAACTTTGCCTATTAAACATAGAAATGTGGAAAAAGATATACTCTGGTCAAGTGGAAGTACAAAAAATTCTCCATATAAAGGATATGAAGAGATGAGAAGGTTAATCAGAAAAGAATCTTTGTTCCTTACCTTCTCTACATCTTCGAGTCCCTCAGTGTCAAGCAGAACGAGGGTGTGGTCTGCCTTCTCAGGATGAGGCACACACCACATCCAGATTCCCTTGGTGTGAGACTGCACCGTGGAGCCAATAGAGAAGCCTGCAGGGGAAGCGGAGAGGTTGTAATAGATGAGGGGATCTGGAAGTTGGAGACGTTCTTAACAATTGAGCCAGGGTTTAAGGAAAGCAAGATGTGTACATGGAAAAAAGTATAACCAATATTGATCTCAACTACAATAGAAAGATGGCAAAATAAGACTATCTCACAGGTTGGCAACTTCATAGGTTACTTTTACAAGTATACTATGCTAGTAAAATTTTCATAGTTTATAATTATATATGTTATTTTATTGATGTCTTACTCCCTATGATTAGAAAATATTTTGATTTTCCCAATGATATACTAAGTTAAAAAAAAACAGAGGTGATGTTTCAGGAACAGACCTCTGCCTTTTATACCCCAGAAGGTAATTAGCCAGCTGTGGCCCAAACATTACTTTTTAAAACTCTTCCCCATCCCTAACTTTCTCTCTTCATATCTCCATAGTCATGCTGGGTGTGGGATTTTCTGGTGTCACTCACCCTTGCTCTTCCCAGCCAGCTTGTTCATCAGGTAAGATTTACCTGTGCGGTAGAGGCCCACAATGGCCACCACGACAAGAGGCTGGGTAATGGCAGACAGGATCTTCAAAGCTTCTGGATTAACTTCTAGTTTCCCATTAGTGTTCTCAATGAGGCACACTGGGGCTGGCATGTGGGTCTCTGAGGCCATGTCCAGGGTGCAACCTTGTCT